AAGTCTAAGATATCTCAATGAAATTCATAAAATATAAGGTATTTTTCAAGTCCTGTATACAAAAGAGAGCACATCAAGTCATAATACTTCTCAATTTGTTAATGGATTTATAGTACTATTGGTCATCAACTTTTCCAACAAAAAGACTAAATGACAGTTTAAGAACCTGAAAATAAGGATTCAGGTGTTGGACCTATTATCATTATCATGCCATACACATCCTATTATACTGTGGTATATATTTCAACTAGTGTCACCACCTAGCCCACATTGCCACCACTACATTTATGTCAGCTAGTATCTTCAAGGGCACAAGCCCTACTCATTACACTAGGAACATTGTCCCATTTGGATAATTAGCAATTATAGCCATTTGGAGTGAGAACATTATCTCCTTTGTAGTCAAGTATAGCCATAGGTTCCACAATAGGATGATTAGCAACATCATTTAGTAAGTAGGTTCAAGTGTGGGTCATGCAATAAGGCTAACTGGAATAATGTTTAAGTAGTACATGTTTTTTAAATGGAACCTCCAAATTGATAGGTCGATAACTTTTTGGGTCCATTAATGACAATTTTAGAACACCACATGTTGGCTTATACATTGGAATTGCATTGTTAGGGTATCATAGTTCTTGTTATGTATGGGTCCAAGATTCATGAGCCATTACGCGCCCAAACTAATGTTTGTTCCCAGATGGTGAGTAAAGATTTGTGGACAAACATGTGGATGGAGAACTCAACAGAAAAAACTTGGCCTTGGATGGTGAGTAAGACTTGTGGACAAACATGAGGATAGAGCCATTGCCAACAATGATGCAAAGGGCATTGGTTAGATGAGGTAGGAAGCCAAGGAACTTTGCTGCATATGTCTGCACAAAATTGTGGTTTTTGCCACCATCAATACGAATGGTACTCTTGTGTGATAAACTGAGCCATAAACACAAACATTTTAGGGCAAGGGAGACTAGAAAGTGCATTTTTGCTAACGTGACTGTAGGGATAGCATAGAGGTCCTAAAGAATTTTAGACAGTGAAATGAAGTTGTCGCCCCAGGATTGTGTTGGGAACAAACAGATAATTGAACAAATAAAACAAGACTATGTTAACCTCACAGCAATTTTTATTCATAAATCAATACCTTTACGCTGTGAGACCTAATGATAGGAAATTAATCAATTCTAGCAAATGGTTGTGAAAACCATAATCAAGTAATCAATTTTAAAACAAAAGGATTCATAATAAGAAGCCCAAAATAGAAGAAACAACATTGTAAAATCATGACAGAACCTCCATCTTTTGAAGCATGTCTTTTAACTTTTCATGTCGTCTTCTTCTTGCATTATCATCTCCATCAGCCGCTTCTTGAACAACAAACTTGTCACTTTCTACCTCAAGTTTTCCATTACAACTTTCACAATGGAAGTCGTCATCTTCAAAAGATACTAGCCGCAATGCATCCAGAGCATTGTATCTAATCAATTCAAATCCCCAAGTATTATGGAAACATAAAACAATTATTGATACTGAAATAAATTTGGAGTTATAATGGATTACTTAAACCTTTTTCCACACTTTGTACAGATATATTCTTCAATTGTGTTCTTGTTGTCCAATTCATCTTTCAGCAGCTTCTTCATGCGATGGATTCTGTACCTAACCACATCATATATCTGCAACAAACTTCAACGTAAAAATTTCTACAGATGCAGGAGCCATAATTTAAATTGATAACTGACTCAAAAATAGTGACAAGAGAGCATGCAAAATAAAAGAAAAACCACAAGAATCATGGAAGAGCAACATTTGTAGAAATATATATGGATGGGATTGAACTGGGAAGAGACAAACCTGTGCATAATCTAGACAACAGTAAGAGTGTGTGTGTAACTTGACCTTCTCTTCTCCCTCTTTTCCAGTCAGTTGAGCATCAACTGTAGCAGCTGTAGCAGCACTATACAATTTGGCTCCTTTTGCTGTCTGGAAATCGAGATAATATAGATCATAAGAAGAAAATACAGGCATCACTATTTGCATCATTAACAGCTAACATCCTAACACTCCAAACCTAATAAGGAAAACTAATAAAACTCAGACAAGCATGAGAAAAATAAAAACACTGCCAAGTGATCCAAGATATAATACTAATCACTGTGATACTTAAGCACTCCCTAGTACCCAAGCCCATATCAAAATAAAAAACTAGAATCCTATACTTAAAATGTGGGAGTGACGTCCCATCCTTGCATTGCATTTGTAGTCCTATGAAAAACACTGGCAAGTGATCCGAGTAAAGAGTTCAAATTAATAACTGAAGAATCATAAGGTGGCAAATGTTCCTTATTTTCAAGCCTATCAAAGACTAGCTAGGATGTTAAACTGTCTCACTATTAGTCAACCAAATATTTCATTAGCTGTAAGTTTTGAGTCGATTTCCAACTTATCTGTGTGATAGTTACTGCAATGTTGTGGTTTGAATGTTGAGATAGTCTATGAGAACAAGGCTCATCCTGATATGAGAATATACAAATGTATATTGATGACTTAACATGAGGCCTACCCATGCATGTAAGAGGGGTCACTAAGCAGAAGAGGTTCTCCCTTGCTTGTTCCCCTGGCTTTCAATGTACTTCTCTTCCGTTTCTCTATCTGAGTATCCCTATCTTCCTCATGAAACCCATAGCAGATAGGACTAAGGCTAAATTGTCCAGATAGAAGGCATATCATCTATTTATTATGGACACAGTAGCTTTGGTCAAGTTTGTGATATGCAATGTGCTCACTTATTGCTATAGCGTCAATAGGTGGCCCTTATCCCTCATCAAAGCCAAAAATAGATGCATAACGAATTTCATATGATTTGGCAACTCGAATTCTAAGAAATTGGTATTGGTTGCCTGGTCTCAAGTTTGTAAGCCATATATGGATGGTGGATTAGAAATTAGATCCGAAAGACAAATGAATGATGCTTCCATGTTAAAGTTGGGTTGGGAGTTAGTCTGACAACCAATGGACTTAATCAGAGCCAGGGTCTTCAAAATGGGGAAAATCATTGAGCACCATATTAGATCCTCTATATGGGTTGGTTTGAAGAACATTATGGCAATAATCCAGGAGAACTATGCTAGGTATATTGACACAGGAGATAATATTAACTTTTGGAGAGACACTTGGCTTGGGAAGCCCCTGATTCAAGTGATATATTCCCAATATTTTTCCTTGTATGCTGGAAGCATCAATCAAGGACATCAGACATAATGGAGATTGGGTTATTCCTCCTAGTCTTATACAAAAGTGTCCTTCTTTAGCTCCTAAGCTTTCTTTTAACAATCCTTCCACTTCTATTGTAGAGGATGCTAAAAGATGGAGTTTCACTAGCGCTTGTAACTTCAGTATTAAGGAAGCATTTCTATTTCTTCATCCTCCCCTCCTTCCAAAGCTATTCTATTCTGGAGATTGTACAACAAAAAAATTCCTAAGTATGAGAATCCTAGATTAAGAGGGTGCATAAATGTCTCTATTAGTTGCTTTTGTTGTATGAGGTTGAAACCTCACCACACATTTTTTTAATTGACAGTTGCTTCACCTTCTACGATTGGTTCACTAACAAAATTCATCAAAACCTGAATTTTCAACAGATACTACTATGCCATGCACCAGGTTGTGGGGAAAAAAACAAGAGATTTTTGACGACCGCTTGTGCCTATATTATTGCTGAGAAATGGGAATCAGGAACAGTATTAGGTTTGACAGGAAGCCTCTGATCCTCGTTTGTCAAAAACCATATTTCAAGTCTTGTAAAACTGGTTGGTACTAATTGTGAAAGTCACATGAAGTCTTCAATAGAGGAATTCAACACTCTAAAAGAATTCTTCACTGAAATTAAATGCAACAACAAGAGCAAGACCATTCGAGTTGAATGGAAAACCCCACCATACATGTGGATCAAATGCAATACAGATGGTGCTGCAAAAGGTGTGCCTAGCCAGCTGGGAAGGATGTAATTTTAGAGACAACAGTGTTGCAGTCTTAGGTTCTTTTGTTGTTAAGCCAGGGCATAAATTTGCTCTACAAGCCGAACATTATGTTGTCATGACTGTCATTGATACAGCCAAGTATAAAGGGTTGGAATTACCTTCGGTTAGAATGTGATGTTTGAACTGTCATTAATACTTTTAAATCTGTGGATCACATGCCTTGTAGACTAAGAAAAAAATGGTCTAATTGCTTATATTACACTAATAGGATTAATTTATTGGTATCTCACATATAGGGAAAGTAGAAGTTGTGTAGATAAACTTTCTACTTTTTCTATTAATGTAGTGTGTTGTTTGGTGGGATACCATTCCCCATTCATCTAGGAACCGTAATGGATTACCTTCTTAAAGGTTTCTATAGTGTTTGGTCTATGTTGCCCCACAATTTTATAAATTCCCTCTCTCTATCTGCACACACACACACACACATATTTCTTAGGAATAAAACAAACAACAGAAACTGCTAAGTTGCAAGCCTAGCTGGAATTTTAGTCCATGATGCTTATGCACTGGTTTTGCTTTTCTATAGTGTTTAGTCTATGTTGCCCCAAACTTTTGCAAATTCTCTCTCTCTCTCTGTGTCCACACACACACAGAGTTGCAATCCTAGCTGGAAATTTAGTCTGTACAGTGATGTCTATGCATTGTTTTTTCTTAAGTATGCAATGTATGGTCAATTATAAGAGAAGGCTGATATATACAGCTATGGTATTATAGCCCTAGAAATCATACGAAAACTGATGTGAAGAATGAGGAGGATGGTCGTGAATAGCTTCTTCAACAAGCTAGGAAACAGTGTGAGAGAGGCATGAAGTTGGAGCTTGTGGACAAGGTCATTAATGAGTATGATGCAGAAGAAGTAAACAAAATCGAAGAAATTGCATTGCTATGCACTCAGGCATCTACTGCAACAAGGCCAACCATGTCTGAATAGTGCTACTCAAAACCAGGNGATGTGAAGAATGAGGAGGATGGTCGTGAATAGCTTCTTCAACAAGCTAGGAAACAGTGTGAGAGAGGCATGAAGTTGGAGCTTGTGGACAAGGTCATTAATGAGTATGATGCAGAAGAAGTAAACAAAATCGAAGAAATTGCATTGCTATGCACTCAGGCATCTACTGCAACAAGGCCAACCATGTCTGAATAGTGCTACTCAAAACCAGGAGCTTAGTGGAGCAAATGTGAAGAACTATGCCTATGTTTGTTTAAACAAACAAATATGATAAATAGGGAAGGCAGCTCTGCTGGTGCATCGAATGCCACTGTCTCCATTTTTGTTGTATCAACTCAATGATTATGAGATTTTAATCACTTTGACCAACAAATTACTAGAATAAATCAGATTAAAGTTTTTTATAACTTTTCATTATGTATACATTTTGAAAAGATTATGTAAGCAGTAGTTATATATAAATATATGTATACAATATATATATATATATATATATATATATGAATAACTTTTCATTTCAAGAGCTGTTTATCAATGTTATTGTCCATGTGTAGTGCTATATATATATTTTCAAGTTTCCTATCATACAAGTCTCAGTTTAATATGTGTGTATGCATGTATATTATACATGACAAATAATTAACATTTGGCTACTGTGTTTCCATTAGAGGGGATCTAATCTCTTGTCAGATCGAGAACTGAGGCAAAATGATGTTGCCTCACGGGAAGATTTAATCAGGGGAAATCATTACATCCTTTGGGGAACTCTAATGAAAAGATATTTTCACCAAGTCACTCAAGAGGCCTTCTGGTACATACAACAAATATGAACTAGCTTGGGGGAGTACTAAGATATCCTCTGTTTCCTTATCTTTCATACAAGTAAACATTGTTTGACTTTGTTTCCTAGAAGCTGACATATATAAAAGGAAACAAATTCAAATAACTAGGTTCATTCCCTATAATGAAGAAATTTTGATTACACGTTGATTATTTTAATTAACAATGAGAGTCAACATCTGCATATGCCTACAAGAGAGTGTCATCCAGAGAAGTAACACCAATGAACTGCACAGACAGAATCCAATAGTTACCTCTCTTCTATATTCTCTAGTAATGATCTTCTCCTCTTCAAAAAACCGCAGAGTTCGGCGAAGTTGTTTTGTGTGTAATTTGAGATCTTTTGCCAAATCTTCTTCTCTGACCCATTGTCGCCTGAACAGAATTCGCAAAAGATTAATAATGAAACCACATAATCAAGGAAATGCACCCACAATTCTTCAAAATTAAACTACAATATAGTAAACAAACAGCCCCGTTGATCTACACTATCATATTATGAAGCAATATACTTACAACAACGCTTTCACTCCCCACGTTTACAAATAAGTTTTACTTCAAATTTCACTTCAATCCTCCCATATTCATTTTCATTCGGTTTTTTGTCATAACGTATTCCACAATCAAAAGCTGAAAATCATGAATATTTCCAGTGAGATCAAACCTTGTGAGGGCATCGAGGATCACTACAGCGATTCCTCTGTTATCACTCCTTCCCGATTTAGGTTGATTCTCTCCTTTACTCGTTAGATCATCATAAAAAGCCCTCGCAGCTAGTTTAACCAACCTACACCAAAATCAAAAGTAACTAATTAAATATATTCAATTTTCCGTGTTTATTTTTAATTGACGAAGAAACGGCACAGCTGTTTTAGAATCTTCGATTGAATTAGAAGAAAAACCCGTACTTGTTGTAGTGATCGACCATCGAAGCGATCTGAGAATAATTTTTAAGTGGCTTCGATAGTTCGTTTCGGCGTCCAAATCGGAAAGGAAGGATAAGTGTGAAGCGATTATCCAATGATGTTCATCGCAGCTCACAACTCTCTTCCATCATTCTAAATAAATCGCAATTCCGAAGACAAGAGGCCGTTATATATGGTAGGGCTTTCACAAAGAAGAGTATCTTCTTCTGCAATCCTTAATATCTAATATAATCTATTAAAGAAAATAGAAAAGTTACTTTTCTTACTCATATTTTGTTGAGATGTATCTAAATTGTTAGTTTTTTTTAGACACTTGATTTTTTTTTTTTTTATTTTATCTATTATAATATACAAAAATAGTAGGAAAGTTACTTTTTTATAGTCAAGTTTTTTTTGTTGACAAGTATTTATAAATAATTAATTTTTTAATTATTTGATATTTTTTGTTTTATTATACAAGAAAAAATATATTAGAGAATTTATTTATTTTACTTATATCCTAATTATTAATTTTTTTAGTTATCTGACATTTTTAATGCTTTTTGTTTTATTTATTTTGGTGTCATATATTTCTTTTGTCCACTATTGTTCTTTCGAAATGTTTATTCCATTTCAAGATTGTAAAATAATTAATAAGCTGAAATCCTGTCTATTATGCAAATAAAGAAATACCATAAACGATGAGTTAAACAATTTTAACAAATTATAAAATAATTTTAAAAAATAAAATAAAATTTAACTATACCTAAATGATAATAATAAAAACAAATTATAAACAATTTAAATCTCAATTGGTAAACTAAACAACAGTCTCGACAACCATGTCAAAAATTTGTTATAAGTTACACTTGTATTATTCATAAACGTTAACGTATAGAGATTTAAGTTTTTCAAAAAACATTATGTTTATTCACTGAGGCTAAAAATGAAAATTGTTGATGAATATGAAATAAATCTAAAACTAAAAAAAACAATAAAATTTATAAAATTATTATATGGTAAAGAACTTACCAAGATTAGATTTCATGCATCAAATCAATGTGAAAAGCAATAAACAATTTATTTCAATTTTTTATTCTAGCATTCACACTACTATTTAACAAGTCCTAATGTCTTAGAAACAAATATAAATTAATTAATAAGAATCCTAATGTATTAGACATTTTCTTAATAAAAGTTTGTATTAAATATTAAATTTGAATGTTATGAATGACCAACAATGAACTCTATGTCAAAATGCCCAACAATTAATTGTTCTAATATGATATTGGTTTCGACATCGTGTCTAATAATAAAAAACTTACATATATACAATCAATCAATTTATATAATGAAGATCGAGAATAAAACATGAGAGGAATGACTTTATGGACTCGTCTGATATATTTTGCTAGACTCGTCTAATATATATTGTTAGACTCATTTAATCGATACATTAATAGACTCATCCAATATGTATTGTTATACTTGTTTAATCACTTTATGGACACACTCATATAATCTCATATAATGTGTATTGCTAAACTTGTCTAATCAATGTATATGCAGACTCATGTAATGTGTATTACAAGACTTATATAATCAGTTATTTGACAAACTTGTCTAACGTGTAATATGTGTATAGACAAACTTGTCTAACGTCTAATATGTGTATAGACAAACTTGTCTAAAGTATAGTGTTAGACTTGTCTAATCAATGTATAAACATACTTGTCTAGTGTCTATTGTTATACTCATTTAATTAGTATATGGACAAACACGTCCAATGGGTATTGTAACGCTTGTCTTATTAGTGTATGAACAAACTCTTTTAGTGTTTGTTGATAGATTTATGTAATTAATTTGTGGACAAACTCATCTATTTGATATTTCTAGGCTCGTCTAATGGGTTTTCTTAGACTCGTGTGTGGAATTATTAAAGTTTTTTTAAATACTTGTCTAGTGATTATGTCAACAAACTCATCAAATGTATATTGTTAAACTTTTCTAATCAATGCATTGATAATCTCAATTAATATTTTTTGTTATATTTGTCTAATTAGTATATTCTAGACTCATGTTATGGTTTTTGCTATACTTATCTAATCAATGTATATACAAACTCGTCTAATGTGTATATTTGTAGATTTATCTAATGTTTTTTGCTATATATGTCTAATGTGTGTTGTTATATTTGTCTAATCAATATATGTCTAATATATATTTTTAAACTCAACTAATGACAATATAAATATATTAGTAATATATTTTAAAACAATTAGTTTCATAGTTATTATCTTTTGTTTCGGTTTTACTAAAGTCTTAAAAAATCTACATTTTCAAGTTGAAAATAGTAAAAAGTTAATTCAAAGAATATAAAACAAAATTTAAAATAATAAAAGTGTAAAATATTTCTATTCACACATATGTTTATACCACTTAAAATCTTCTCCGCTCTCACACATATGTTTATACCACTTGTTCGACCTTTTTTCTCTTTCCTAACAAATTCTTCTAACCCCAACGCATACAAAAATCCACATTACTCACCATCTCCATTGTTCTCCACCCTCTCAAAAAACCAACACTTTAATCTTCTTCCAAATTATCGATACCCATCATTAGACTCACACCCCTTACCACCACTTTTTACCCAAGGGCACACATTAACTCCACATTCTCTCTAACCCCGTCGACCTCCATCATCTTCCTCATCCTCTCCTATCTTTGCGCTCATGGCTACCATATCCATCATCTTCGTCTTCACCGCCTACACATCATTCGTATGACATGTCTCCATCGTCAACATCTTCATAACCCCATCTCCATCTTCAAAACCCCACACCTGCCATCTTCATTCACCACGTCTCCTTGCAGCTCTCCATCACTCACACCAACAAACATTTTTTCCTTCCCCTCTTTCCTATTCCAATTCTCAACTCCATGAAAGCAAAATGAAAAGAAAGAAGAGAAGAAGATGAACACGCTTTGTCATTACAATCTAATAAATTTGTTCTAAATTTAAACAGGGAGAACATCGCTCAATTTTAAAAGGCATTAACACTAAACGGAATCACACATATAAAACGACTAAATTGAATATAAGACAATAACATTTTATATTAAAACTAATACATGACACTACCTTGTCATATGATACTAAGAGTGATACATGTAGGGTGATCAAAATTAACCAAAGTGAATTGTCAAATAACTATATTATATTATACTAAAAATACTCAACTATTTACAATAAAAACTTAACCGAACATTTTAAAGTTTATTTTTTAAAAAAACTAAACCTCTAAAATTATAGTTCAGTTAAGTGCTCATTAACTTAAAACTATTTTGTTAATAAAATGTACAGTAGCACACAGGCACACAGGTAAAAGTTCGAAACAGGTCAACCCAACTCGAAGGTCGAGATGAAATGGCCTGAGTCGAAGTTTGAGATAAATCAGCCCAAGCCAAAGATTGTGATGAGTCGCTGGGTCAAAGGTCAAGACAGATTAGGTTAGGCCAAAAGTTAGGATAGGCTAGGCTGGGTCATGATTGAAATTTGGTCGAATTCAGCTATAATCGAAATTTGGTTGAATTCGGTCACAATCAAAATTTGGTCGAGTCATCTCAAACCTAAATTCGATCGAATTTGACAAGTCAACCTCGACCAAAATTCATCCCAATTTGACCCAATCATCTGCGGCTGAAATTTGACTAAGTCAGCCATGTTTGAAATTTTGTCGAATTTGACTAAGTCAACTCACCTGAAATTCGTTTGAATTTGACACTGTCGACCTTGGTCGAATTCAGTCGAGTCGACCAAATTTAACCATTGGGTGTTAACTTTTCTCTTTTATTCAAGTTTTTTATAAAAAAAATCAACATAAGTTGAAAACACTGCATAAGTAATTCGATTAAAAAATATTATAGTTTGGTTCAAAAACAATATAGTTTGGTTCAAAATAGTATAGTTCGAAAACAAGTTAAGATACATAGCAATTCAGTTAAATTCGTATTACATGTGAGTGTAGTTCAATGCAATTGAGTGTAGTGTAGTTTGATATAACAAAAAATGTTCAATGTATTTTGTTTGAACTAATTTTCAGTCCAATTCACACAAATGTTTTTCGGTTCACAACAATTTTTAACAGTTCAGTTTAATTCATTTTGTCCTTCCTTAACCACATATTATATTATGAGACCTGACATATAAAATAACAAAAATTTACAAAATAATTAAAAAATAAGAAACAAATAAAACAAATAAAAATCTAATTTATGACCTGTTTTGAAAGCTGCTATTTGTAATACATTAACGGGAAAAAAAGCATAATTGAATAATTTTTAAAAAATTTAAACATTGATTGAAAAGAAAAATAATAAAAATGAGTAATTAAATCTTAAATATATAATTATAACTTTATAGTCATTTAAGAAGAAGAAACAATTCCTTGGAAGTGGCCTCATTGAATGCATCACCATGCATGGTTCCACGCCATTTAGAACTTAAAGACTAAAGTATAAGGTGGGATGTTGATGGTTGTAAATGTGTCACACGAGTTAGTAGGGCCACTCCAAATGAGAAACGCAGAAACATTGTACAACTTGATTTTGCCTTCAATGCTATGCCATGAGAATCACCCACTTCACCCCCCTAGTGCCCACTTCCCATTACCAACTTTTAACATTTCATCCAATAAATATTAATTAAATTTTCATGCTTCATTAATAATTATACTTTATTCAAGGAAAAATAGTTAATATTATTAGTGGTAAATATAATAGTGAAACTAAAATAAAATGAAAAAAAATATAATTGTCTTCACGATTTTATATTAATTTTATGAAATGACAATACAACTTTTCCAATTTAAAAAAAAACATTTTTTTTATTATATTTGTAGTAAAATGACATTCTTTTCCTTAAGTTTTTAATAAAGTGACACTTGTCTTCTATACTTTATTTTAAAATTAATTTATCAATTAAAACTAATTGAAATTTTGAAAATTAAAAAAAAACTAAAGTTTTAAAATATAAAAACTGTTTTTTCTTAAATGAATTGTTTTTATAATTTTATAATAAATACCCTTACAAAATTTAAATAAAAAATAAATATCACT